GAGCGGAGTCTGTTCGCCCTTGGCACCAAGAGTCCTGTCACCCCTTTCCCAGGTCCCGTCCCCCGTGATGGGGGCACTGGGGCCAAGGCATGTGAGGCTGGAGGCTGTTCGTGCCCGGCTCCCAGCTGGCCATGGCGCAGGGGCCTTCCGCCCTTCGGAGCTGTGACAGCTGCCCTGGGGCTGTGTTAGCCGAGCGGGAAGCAGCACCTGGACCCCTGGGCATCCCTGCGGAGCTGGGGATCCTGCTACAAAACTGGTCTGGAGAAGGGGTTTTTCTCTGGAGGAGGTTTGTAAACTGTCACTGTTGCATTTGTTTCCCCGGGAGCTGAGTGGAGCAGGCACACGGGGGTGGCATACCGGGATGCCCTCCCATGCCGCCTGCCTCTCGGGTCATAAGGCTGATGTATTTTCAGCCATCAAAGCACACGCTGCCTGCACGAAGCAGAAGAAGGAGATTGACACTGTTCATCTTCCCCATGGTCAGTTCTTCGCTGAAGCGAAGTCTTGCCTTTTCTGCTTCGTTACCCGATATGCCAGGGACTGCCAGGAGGCTTGTTCACCTGGTCGTGCCTGCAGCACAGCGACCCTGCCCGAGTGCCCGACCCACCAGCAGGCTCCTTTCTGGTGAGTACCTGGTGATCAAACACCACTGCCGTTGCTGGTGCCTTTGAAGAACCACTTCCACTAGGTTTATGCACTGGGTGGTGTGAAGTTGGGGTGTGCTCGCTGGAGACCGAGTCACCCCACAGCTGCACGCTGGCTTGGCAGGAAAAGGGGCTGCACTAACTGAGAGCACAGAACCTGCTGTTGCTGAACTCCTGCACAAAAATCCCTCTGCTACCTGTGGGACGTAGCTTTCCTGCTGAGGCGGGCTGCTGTCTTATGCATCCTGACCTCTGGATGAGGCTAAGGCAGTCCAGGTCATCCTTTACGCCAGGGTAACGTTGTGCATGTGTGTGCTGCTGTGATCAAAAGGCTCCTTCAGCTGCCCTGCTTGAGATACTGGATGGGCTGGCAGCTGAGGCTGATAAGAGCATATTGAAGTAAGCCCGCTGCATGTAAGGTTTTCCAGGAACGCTGAAATCGCTGCTACTTTGTGATGGATGGAAGTTCCCAAGGGAGGATTTTGTTTTCTTTCGTATCAAATTAAAGTGGTCTAGGAAAAATCAATCTTTTTTTTGTTTTCATGGAAAAAAATGTCACCTTTACCATTTTTCCCCATGTATTCTGTGCATTGGATGACTCTAGGCTATGACTGAGGGTTGACTAGAGCTGAGACATTGACAAATGTGGCATTCAGACCCAGCTGGGAGAGGCTATCACTAAGGAAACTTCACCACAATCTTACTTCGCTTTTTGTTTTCTTCCTAGACATCAGTTACTGACCACAGGGAGGGAGAGACTGCTGCAAGAGATGTTCTTTTTGTACGACTACATGCAGCTGACTGAATATTGTCATATGTATTATGCTTAAACGTTGAACCTCTCTGAAGCATGTGAGTGCCCTTACGACTGAGCAACTTTTCTGAGCTCTAATAGATAACCGATATGCTCAGAGGTTTGTACAGAAGAGACCTCTGTCAACTTCTGCCTTTAGTGTTGCCCTGGCATGCAGCAAGGTAGGGAGAGGGGAAAAACAACTACTCAGGAAAAAATGAGATGTTATAAAGCTCAGAAGAACTGGCAAAGCGACTGCTGGGCAATGGGGAAACTACTTTTACCTACTTTAGGCATAAGTAGATTAAAAGCCCAATTAGAGAAATGCATGGGGAAATGCACAGCCCCGAGGAGGGCTGTTAGGTACAAAAATACAGCCTTTTCTTTAGGAAGTCTCAAAGCTGTGGATAGCTGGAAGCTGGGAGGAAATATCACTGCACACTATAAGGAAAAAACTCTGTGTTTGCTCGGTTCTTATACTCTCTCCCCAAGCATCCATGCTGGCTGGGGACAGGATGTGGGATGAGGTGGACTTTTGGCATCAACCAGCATGGCCATCCTAATGTATTTAATGTTTTTGAAAGAGCAGGATGGGTTTCAGGCCAACAGCAGGGCCCCAAGATCCAATAAGGCCTTCTGAAGCTATAGCTTCCCACATTGCTGGCAGCCAGTGGGAAGATGTAACGTGATGAGGGCTGTTCATTACCCATTTAGCGCAGTCCTCTATGGTATAAACTGAGGAACAAGCAGTTGTGTAATCCAATGAATTTTACCATCTGAGGCAGAGTATTCTTCAGCGCTACTGATTTATTTTCCCACTCTGTTTTAACAGGATGGATAAATCAGTGATATGTATGAAAAAAGGCATAAAGCCCCAGCTTGGGCCAGCTTTTTTAATTCAGACCCAGCTTTTTTAATTCAGCAAGGGAAATGTGTCTAGAGGAGGAAGTGTAAGGAGCAGCCCTGCTGATCGGCAGGGGACCGCACCCATCTGGGCAGCTCCTCTGGCTCTCCAGCACAGAGCAAGGAGAGCTGCCGCGGGCACCGATTTGGATGCCAGCGGTGGGTGCAAGAGTGTCACCAGGTGTCTGTTGTTCTTTAGGGCTGTGCGTTTTAGGTCCGATCCTGATCTTATTATTTGGGGGGTGAAAGAGGAATCATTTCACTGAGGTCAGCAGAGATGCAGACCTGTAAAGCTTTATGTAGCATGAAAAAGACTCAAGCAGGGATCCCTGTTAAGCTCCTGGCGTTGCAGGTGTGCTTGTAGTGGCATTGCCT